TAAGATCAAAACAAACAATTTTTTGAAAAAATGTACTTTGCAATAACACCTCGTAGCTGTTTCGGTTTCAAAAATATTCAAAATAGGACGAATTTCTTAAGAATTTTAATTTTTGAAAATTGATATCGACTTAGATTTTGTAATCGAGCAGAAGATATTTTTGCAACTCTGGCAACACTGGAATAAGAATTATGGTGCTAATAATTAAACAACGTGATAAACTCACTGGAGCTTCGCAAATATTCAGTTTTCGAACCGAGTTATGAGGGCGGTAACATATAATGTTAAACCCTTTACAGTTTTTTCATCTGTTAGTCAAACATTTTTTGACATTTTTAAAAGAAAAAATGCACTTTGAAATTACACCACGTAAATAACATCGTGGCAACAGAAGATCGCGAAAATTTGTGCTCTAAAAAAAACTTGATTTTCAAAATCCAAAACGCATCCAAAAACCAACAACTTTTTCTAAATATCAGCGTTTTCAAAGCTAAAATCCGTTCAGAAACTCCAAAGTTACTGGCACTTTTTGATAACCACTTTGTTGGGTTAAAATGTAATTTCGCATTCGAAGGCCGTTCAGAGAAGAAACTGAAAGAATTTTCGAAAAATCGATTTTCGATCGTAACCAAAAAAATGCATCTTTCAATCTGGACTTCGATTTCAAAAAACAAAAATTCCCTTGAAAAACTCGTCGACTAAAAATGAGCTTCTGAGTTACGAAAGTGGTACCATATATTAAAAAAATCTTTATATTTTCTTCCATTAGTCCAACAGAACGAAAATTAGAGATTCTTTGCAATCACTCCTCGTAAGTTTCATGGTTCTTGATAGTCAAAAAACGAAAATGTATCCATAATCAAATTTTACATTGATTTTACTGTTTTCCGAAATTGAAATTTTTGAAATTGTGGCAACATTGTCATCAGGAAAATTTCCCTGCGATTTGGATACACATTTTTGAGACATTTTTCCATGTTGCTACTTTTACAACTTCAACGTTTTTCTACCGATTTGAACTTTTTCGAAATTCAACCGAATTTTTAAAAATTGTTTTTTTTAACTTTCATATTTTGTTTGATGCTGATTTTGATAGATTTTACGTGCGTGGTTGGTAGAATCTCCTGGAATATTATTTAGCCTGTTGTTAAAAATGCAAGAATATGGTACCACTCTCACAAGGCCGCAGATAATGGGAAAGAGATCTGAAGACGAAATTTCAACAATTTCTTCTTGAAGCAACAACATTTTATGGCAATATGGATTTTCAAAAATTAAAGTTGTCCAGAAACGTCGTCTTATTTAGGATTTTTCGTTTTTTTTTTGGAATCCAACCAGAAAACACATTTTTTTAAACATTAATAACTTTCGAGTTTCTCACCAATTTGAGCACTTCGTAAGCCAAAAAACCACACAGTTGAATTTTTTAAATTGTCTTTTGTCCCTTCCACATGTCATTTGGCTAATTTTGCCGGCGTGGCAGAAAATTCTAGAACCTCTATTTCTGCTGAGTTTTTAACGAGTGGAAAGCAAATTAAAGAAATTTTTGTTACATGGTACCATCCGCATGTTCCAAAAGGCAAATTGCTCAGCCAGGAATTCACACTTTGTTAAAACATCACGATTTTATGCTGCTGCGCTGATAAATTCGAGGTTTTTTGCCGGTTTCAGCGCTCCATAGGCCAGAAACTTCATATTTGACTAACAAATGTCTTTTGGACTCACAGAAAAAAATTTCATTATGTGTTACTGCCCTCATCTTACCGCAGCAACCTAGCGGAAATACGATGATTTTCACGAAATTTTTCAACCACTTACAATTTCGATATCTTTTATGACTGATTGCAGAAACGAGCATGTAAAAAAATTATATTACTTGGTAGCACCCTCAAAATTTTTTTTTGTTCCCCAGCCTCCGTTTCATGGCGGCAATCGCAAAGCCACCATAGAACTGATCCTGCGCGGCAAGCTGACGTTTCCCCAATATATGACAACTGACATGAAGGACATTCTGCGTCGCCTGCTGAAAAAGAAGCCACAAGACCGTCTGGGGGCGCCACCGGACGACGCCAAAGCCATCAAAAAACATCCATTTTTCAAACACATCAACTGGGAGGACGTGATGAACAAGCGAATCGAGCCCCCATACAAACCATGCGTGGTAAGTCACTGTCATCTGTCATCACACGCAGCCTTTGACATTTCCAGCTGTTTGCTCCATTTCAGTCCAGTGAAGATGACGTGTCACAGTTCGATCCGAAATTCACTCGGCAAACGCCAGTCGATTCGCCAGTTGACTCGTTTTTGAGCGAAAGCGTCAATATGATTTTTGAGGTGAGTGACAATGTGACGGATGGCGTTTTGACGCTAACGACGTTTCGTCTGTGTTTCATCTTCAGGGTTTCACGTACGTGGCACCGTCGATTTTGGAGGATTTGTACAAACCGTCGATACTAAAGTCGCGTTCGCCTCGCAAACTCGGCTCGTCTTCCTATCGTGTGCCCACGCATCCTTTTGGCTTCAATTTGCCGAGTTTCGGGCCCTCCTCATCACATCCCCACCACAATCTCCACCAGCACGGGCACAATCATGTCGGCTTTCACGATCAGGCTGCCCCCTATGATGCACACTCGTCCGGTAAGTAGTCAGACGTCAATTATTGCCGTTAAAATCCATTGAAACGGCGAAAATTCCGACCGTTTGGAGGCAAAGTGGATTTTTTTCATTGGGACACCCTGTATATTATGCAATTTTTCAATTCCCCGGCCAATTCTAGCCTGACTTGATGTGTCGCACTTGGTGTCTCAGTTGCGCCGTTTGTCCGCTAGGAGGCTTCAACTGTCAACTGTGACATGTCGCGTCAGGCTCACCGGAAAAGTTGTTTTGTTGGTGAATTACTGAGGATTTCGGAC